TCCAAGGATTTGGAACGGATTAAGCATGCATACCCAGGTACCACCGAATTATTATAATTATCCGCAATAAGTACACAATTATTATTCGATCCACTTCTCCATGATCAGTGGATGTATGTCATCCTCCCGTTTTTTTTGTTTTTTTTTTGAATTATGAAACAATTCCTCCACTGCAGACTGTGTCGTGAGTCAGGTAAGTATGTACTAGATGTGGGCATCAGAATCTATCAGCCACTCCTCCATCTGTCAACTGAGTTTGGAGCCGACACAAAGAAATGTGAGATGCTGTTGCAAATTCATGGCTGTATCTGCAATCAAAGCCTGGTCATCGGCAAAGAGGATTGTGTTATGTTACAATTATTGTTGTTCCTGGGCCTGGCATCCTTGCTTATAATGTCAATGTAGGTGATAAACAGGAGCGGTGAAAAGACATATTCCTGTGTCTTACTCCAGATGTTACAATGAATGGTTTAGAGGTTCCCAGATTTATACCAATTGTGCTTCCACAGTAGCTTTTGCAAACTTCATTGAGGTGTACACTTACTCCATATCAAGCCATCACTTTCCATCATTGGTTTGTCCAACAACCTTATCGAAAGTTTTTTCTCTCTTTCTTTTGTCGTACCCCACTAGGACATCACATAAGCGATAAACACCAGGTGACACAAAGTGCCACCATGCGGATGAGGATCACCAGTGAAGAGGTCCCAGAAACCCCTTTTAGCCGTTAGGCCATATTTATGGCCCGGCTATATTCAGGGCCCCTGGCAAAAGCCAGGTTGTGCTTCAAATAACGAAAATTTGAATCCTACATCGGAACAAATTGAATAGCATAATGCATCGAAAGTTTTCTCCTGGTCTACAAATAAGTTCTGATCATATTCGATGTTCTTTTTTATTAACTGTTCAAGTGTAAAGATTGCATCTGTGCAGCTCCTATTTCTTCTGAAACCCATCTGTTCTTCTGTCAACTGTGGTTCTATCACTGGCCGCAGCCTCGTTTCTATTATCTTAGCATACATTTTCCGAACATAATTTAAAAGAGTTTAGTTGCGTATTCTTTACAGGACGTTGCAGAACCAACCCCAGCCTTTTGTAAGCAGAGATAAGTTCCCATCTGTTGTTAGGGTATTTTCGAACACGCTGTGAATTTTAATGCATTATTATTTGTGAGAACTTAGATTAAGTTCAGTGAAATAAACAGATGTTGAATGTGATAATTATAGTTCCAGTTGTTTTCATTCAGATTAAGAATTGTGTTTAGTAAGCCTAGTTTACTGTTAATGCTATCTAGTCTGCACTATGGCCTTACCCCCGCCAAAACGAACCTTTTTCACTCCCCCCTCCCCCTTTCCTTGTTACTGAGGCAGCTTAAGGTTGGGGTTTGGCTGCCACTCGTCACGTGACACTATTTTTATGTTGTAGGTTTGAAGTCGAGGAGTGTCCAAGGAGTAGTATTTCAAAATTATCCTTAAAAGTTATCTCCTACCTCTCTCTAATACAAGATACCCCTTAGGCTTCGCTTCAAGTACAAACGCCTACACAGCTGGAGATAAAAGAGACTTTCAAACACGTTGTAAAGTAAGCGACGTTATGTAAAGGACGTGCAGATTGATTGATTGATTGATTGATATAGATTGTATATTCTGATTTTCTCGCGCTTTATCATAATGCCAACACGTATAATTTCTGTTTCGTTATTTGAATTCGCAGGTACTGGGACTGGCTCACAGTTAGAAGAAATCCATAGTAATAGGCTTCTCATTTGATGGAATTTCGATCATAACCGAGAGGTACTGATTTTTCCAAATGTTATCATTCATAATTTATGGACAGCCAGCCTAAAACTTGTACCAAAATTTTATTGGACATAAATAACGTTTCAATCTTCACAAGAATAACAATTACTACTTGAACAATACAATGATGTTCACTAAATTTGATGTGAACGTTAATTCTTTGCGAATGATATCTCCGTTTTAGTAGGGTGTATGCGACACCATCTGACCTCTATTAGAGAAGAGCATCTTTTTGGCATTTATCTGATAAGCAGTTGAATTTGTTTTTGTGGGATAGCTTCCCACTCGTATCGGAGTGCAAGAAAGAACTGTTGAAGATTGGCTAGAGCAGTGGTTCTCAACTTTCGGCGCTTCTTTGATCCATTCCCCAAAATGGCGGCATGCTACATTCTGGCCATAAAATATCCAAAAATATCCGAACGACGGTGTTCCCGTATATCTAAAATACGGACTGTCTGCCAAGGGACAAATAATCGCGGCAAAACTAGGATTACTTGACAATCACTATTAACATTGCACACGGTACTAGTAGCAGACGATAAATACCGACCGTTGACAACAATTTCGAGCGTTTCTGCGACTCCGATACTAGCAGACGATATTAGATATCGTTGACCAATTTCGAGACATTACATACGATGAAAACGATTAGCAATACTGTGTTCTTCTGATTGGAGGATTTAGCAGCGGTAGATGTCAGACTTGTCGGCATGCGCCAAACGCGATTAAACTTATCGCCGAGCGTATCTAGGTGCCTGGGACTCACGAGTACAGTAATTGGAGGAAGTTGCAGGAGATGCGGTAGCTGCCACTCGTGAGTCCCAGCCATCTAGTTTAGCCCCCATCCGCGCCGCGCGTAGCGGCGCGGGGGATACGCTCGGCGGTGAGGCACACTCGCAGAAGCAGGTCGGCAAGCAACGTATCGTCCAGACCCTGTCAGAGCATTTGTTTCGTTATTCGGAGCCGGCACATATATTTTTAATAGAGTTGACCCCGCATTCGGATATTTTTGGATATTTTATGGCCAGAAATTGGCCAATTTAGCTTCTTTTTGAACGCCATCATATTAAAGCCGCCATTTCGGGGAACGATTCAAAGAAGCGCCCAACTTTCCTCATGTTGTGATGGCACCATACATACATTTATTTTCGTTGCTACTTGATAACTTCGGTGAATATGAGTTTTCTGATGGCATTAGGCGACTCCTGTATGCAATGACTCTCCTTGGCAACCTGCCCAGGCACACTGACAGACACTCCCACACAGCAGGTCTTGAACACGAACAAACGTGGTGAACACCAACGAATTGACAACTTAATGTTTATTACTCCAACGAAGTTCATCTTAATCAATCTACCAGATGTTTGTTGTTTAGGAAATCGCTACTGCATCACACATTCTAATGACTATCGTTATCTTGGTTGGATCCTCACGTTCGGCACTCTTAGTGTACTTCCACTCAAAGATCGCCTCAAAAACGCATTCAATGAAACCACATCTCACAGCAGACAACAGCGCCTCTAGTTTAAACCTTCACGGAGTAATGACCAGATTTCCCAGGAATGGTAGCTCAAATGCGTTCTCAAAACGGATTCATCTCAGGCATTCAGAGCCGCACGAGACCTCTCTTCCCGGATCGAAAACAAGACTGAGCATTTGTGAGCAGAACCTTGCCACAAGCATGCCTTCAAAAACCCAACAACAGAACCGCCTGTTCCTATACTGCCACAATGAATGCCCTATATGGGAAATCGCATTTGAAATTACCGTGGACATAGAAGTCCAGTGCCATAAAAAAGTGAAGCACTCATTTGTTTAAATCCCAGGTCTGCAGGCTGCCTTTTGTTGGCTCTAAAAGGTACCGCTTGACCTGAATAAGAGGCTCAGTATATGGAAGTATGGTTAAACAGTCATGAGCAGGACGTGACGATCCATTGGGTGAGCTCATTACAAGAGCACCATGTATTAGCTCTGCACTTATGGAAGCAATCTTAGAAGGCGGGGAATGCCTTTTCTTGAGGGCCAATCTGCACATGGCTTTTCTGGACGGGTCCTCTAAGGACGATATCTGGGGATCAGGGGATGTCAAAGCTACCATACAAATGAAGCTCTAAAATGTCCCTCAGTGTCAGGTGACACAAATTAATCCCTCTTTTTTTTTCTTCTTCTAAATTTCTATATTCTTGTATCATTGAAAGAAGGCAAGTTAGTCTGTTTGGGGTAACTGTCTATTAAAAAAACCACTTTAAATTAGTAATCACGGGTAAGGACAGCAAAACACCCACACTTTTTCTCTGCAACTTACTGTTGTTTAGGAAGTGTCTTTTCAGTCAAGTACCCTTTTCCTGTAGGAAGCAAATCAAGTATATGATGCCAGACTCAAATATTTTATAATCGACCGTCAACAGATGATGTGGTCAATATCCCCTCACTGCTTTACTTCTCAGGTCTCTATCTGGTACCTATTGTGGGCTGGGTCGACCGGGTAGCCAAAGTCATTTATGAAAAAAATCAGGCTTGATGTGGATTCAAACCCACGACCTTCAGGCTTGTAGAGCATCTAGCCCTTATATCACCATGGTTCCCAAAAAGAAAAAAATAATTGGCAGAAATTAGGGAAAAGCACTTATTTTAATAATCATTTGTACAACTTAATTATGTGAAGTGAACAACATTAATATAGACTCTTATGGAATCTCCTGGTTTGGTATGAAGTGGATACTATTCCAAGCTTTAGCAGCTCTTTACTGCAAACTGAAATATGAAAAACATTTACAGTGGTTCAACTTTGGCTGTGGATCCATCCTTATACAGAATGAATAAACAAAGATCAAGATAAAAATGAATAGAATGAAGGTAAATATATTGGTTAATGGTTAAAAGAGATTGCTTGACCCAGGCAGATAACAAAGATGAGCATATAATTATTAACTCAAGATTCCAAGCGAGCTGTAATAATTTTACACTTAAGATAACAATAGCGTGGAAATTATTTCGTGTTAAATGTAACATAAGACTTACAATATTACTAATTTCTCAAGTTAATTATAGTAATTTCTTAACTCTTTGAGTCCCAGGGGGTTTTAGCATCACAGGCCCAAGAGGTAGTCAAGAGAGAAGTAAAAACAGCACACCTTGCATTTATTGGGCTTCTAGGTAGGAATCTATGAACGTATGATGTGTTTTTTGGGACTGAAAGAGTTAATGACCTTTCTTTGATGCAGCTTGAGCTTTATTTGATAATATCTGCAACTCTTTACGCAAACTGTCAATCAGTGGCTGAGGTGATATTCCTGGCTGAACACTCATTTTAATAACATCAACAACATCATAATTCTTGTCAATACTCTTATTTGGTTCTGAGTGTCCCTCTGTGAATACTTCATTCGTCCCACTAGAATCTTTATATGAACTACTGCTGCCATCTGGCTGTGTGCTATTAGGTGTGGCTGCTTTTATCAGTCGTGAGGTTGTTGGTGTTTCTTGATAGCAACTTAATTCATAAAAATTATTAGCGTACATATCAAGTGTTTTATCTGGGACTGAACTATTAAAAACAGGATTCTGTAATGCATCTAGATTTCTTGATTTTGTATGTGAAGGGAAATTTTCATTGACTCCATGTTTGGTTGTGCTTTGTTTTCTCGGAGTCCCATTCTTGGGTATAACATCATGTAAATTTCTGGTCCTAATAATAATAGGTTCTCCTGGCTCTGTGACATAGTACTTGGATTGCAGCTTGAACAGTTGGTCAAAATTGGATGTTTTTAAAGGTTCTTGCTCTACTGGCGTGGCACTCATGTTTGTCTTAGAATAAAAAAAAAAGGCAAAATGCATTCATTAATTAAAATATATCTTACATAGCAACATAATGAATATAGCAAGAGTCTGAAGTTTTAACTCTTTGAGTCCCAAGGAACACATCATACGTTCATAGGTTCCCACCTAGAAGCCCAATGAACGCATGATGCGCCGATTTTATTACTTTCTTTACTACCCCCTGGGCCTGTGATGCTAAACCCCCTAGGACTTAAAGAGTTAAACCAGTAATTCACTAACTGTTAGGAAAACAAACGATAATAAACAATAAAAAAAAAAAGGTTTATGCTGCAACACTTTTACTAGATTTGTCTTGTACTGGCATTAAGTTTTATGTTTATTTGCATTTTATGCTCCAAATGTCAGATTCAGACAGCACGAATAATTATGAGTTTTAGGTGAAGCTTTGGTATCTACTGGTCTAGGAAATGTATTGAGAATAAGACCAGATTGGAATGTGATGCTAATTTTTCAGCTTGTCAAATCAAAAATGTAAAAACTAATTTTTAGGTTTTCCTTTCTCTTCTGTTTTAATGATCCTGTGTAGGTCTTGTGCATATGCTTGATGGCTACAGTAATATTTTTACTTGTGTCCATTCTTTGCTGTTTGGTAAAATATTTACTTTTTTTTAAAAGTATCCAAGATAACATTTTCTGAAAATTTATGTGAGAACTTGTAAAATCAACATTGTTTTTTTATACTATTACACAGACCATATGACAAGAAATTACCAGAACAGTAGTTTCAGACTTTGAACAAAAATATGACTTATATGCAAATAACTTACTCCACACACATTTCATTCTGGAGTGTTTACTTTGAACATATCCTTACACAACTTTTCAACATTCTTCTTTTTCTTCTTCAGCATTCGGAGCCCTTGAGGTTCATTGCTGCAGATATCATCCGCCTCCACTCATCTCTCGGGTTGGCCTTCTTCAGCATTCGGAGCCCTTCAGGTTCATTACTGCAGATATCACCGGCCTCCATTTATCTCTCTGGTTGGCCATCTTCAGCATTCGGAGCCCTTGAGGTTCATTACTGCAGATATCACCTGCCTCCATTCATCTCTCTGGTTGGCCTTCTTCAGCATTCGGAGCCCTTGAGGTTCATTGCTGCAGATATCATCCGCCTCCATTCATCTCTCTGGCTGGCCCTCTCTTTCCAGTTGGTGACACCAAGTGTTTGAGGGCTTTTCAACATTGACTATCTAAATGTCCAGCTCTTCAGATGCCAGGAATTTGTTGCTTCCGTCAAAGCCAAATAAAAGATTATATGGAACAACACAGCAGCTGATAAAAACTGCACTGGAATGAAGGGTAGACATCCAGGTAGCACTACATCAATATTAACAACAAAAACATCAAAGTACATGCTGAGCTGAAACCTAGAGATGACATTGCAGATATTTTCAATGACAGCAGAAAAACTGTGCAAAAGAAAGGAAGACTGCACAATAGACAGAACAACAGCTTTCAGTGTAGAGGTCCATGTGCTTACTAGAAACTATTCACATGCGACTGACATAAACCCTACAGTGTATATCATTCTTAGCATGCTCTGCAGACAGAACAGTTCAGCTGTGCTTTCTCTGTGACCGTCAGGACTGACACTATTAGTTGGGGCCCACTAATGTAAATCTTGGGAAAGGGTGAAGAGGTTTGAAGGGCGGGGTTGTCAAGCTCTGAAAATGTCTGCAGTTCCCCCGGGAAAATCCAACTCATTAAAAAACAAAGACCAAAATACACACACACATGTATTACCTCATGATTATTTAAAGAAATAAATTTTGTTTCATCATAAGCTCTGTATGGATTCCAAGTAATTATTCCTTCTGGATCATTAGAGGCAAACAAATGATGAACTTGGATAGGTGTATGTACCTTATCTGAAATTAATACACAGGCATATAAAATTTCTGCAAGATATTAAAATGAGTCATTGCACTAACATTTAAAAAAAAAACTGGTTTGCTGAGTAAACTGTTTGTAGGCAACCGTCAGAAAACTGGTTTGCTGAGTAAACAGTATGAAGGCAACCGCCAGAAAACTGGTTTGCTGAGTAAACAGTATGTAGGCAACTGTCAGAAAACTGGTTTGCTGAGTAAACAGTTTGTAGGCAACCGTCAGAAAACTGGTTTGCTAAGTAAACAGTATGTAGGCAACTGTCAGAAAATGGGTTTGCTGAGTAAACAGTATGTAGGCAACTGTCAGAAAACTGGTTTGCTGAGTAAACAGTATGTAGGCAACCGTCAGAAAACTGGTTTGCTGAGTAAACAGTATGTAGGCAACTGTCAGAAAATGGGTTTGCTGAGTAAACAGTATGTAGGCAACTGTCAGAAAACTGGTTTGCTGAGTAAACAGTATGTAGGCAACCGTCAGAAAACTGGTTTGCTGAGTAAACAGTATGTAGGCAACTGTCAGAAAACTGGTTTGCTGAGTAAACAGTTTGTAGGCAACCATCAGAAAACTGGTTTGCTGAGTAAACAGTTTGTAGGCAACCATCAGTCCCTAGGGACCAGGGAACTGTTCTGCTGGTTTTGGCAAGTGTTTCTGCTGACTGTAAAGTCCAATGCTAGAGTTGCAGTTTGCTGAGTAAACAGTTTGTAGGCAACCGTCAGAAAACTGGTTTGCTGAGTAAACAGTATGTAGGCAACTGTCAGAAAATGGGTTTGCTGAGTAAACAGTATGTAGGCACCTGTCAGAAAACTGGTTTGCTGAGTAAACAGTATGTAGGCAACCGTCAGAAAACTGGTTTGCTGAGTAAACAGTAACCATCAGTCCCTAGGGACCAGGGCACTGTTCTGCTGGTTTTGGCAAGTGTTTCTGCTGACTGTAAAGTCCAATGCTAGAGTGGCAGTCTTGGCCACATAGTCCACACAAAATCATTGATACTTATAATACTGAGGCGGGTTTTATCTGAAGACATCACCTCTCAATAGTTTGCTGTGTGTGGCCTCTTGCTAACTGCAACAGTCAGACTTTCACTGTCTGCCTCCATAGGAGTCGGTCTGCAACTGATTTCTCCCAAGCCTCTGTGTCAATATTGCCATCTTTTAGACCACATTTGCATATGTTCTTTTAGCTTCTTTTCCCTGTTTCCAGTTCACTGTACAGGAGATCTTTTGGAATGTGACCACTCTCCATGTAAGAGACATGTCCCAACCAGCACAGGTATCTTTGCTTCAGTAGAAAGTCCACTGTTGGCATTCCTGCTCTTTTGAGAGTGCATTTGTTGTGGACAATGTCTCCCCATTATATATGAAGAATGTGTCTCATACAGTACAGATCAAAAGTATTCAGTTTTTTTTTTTTCAGGAGCATACAGAATCCATGTTTTGCTGTCGTTAAGGAGCCTGCTCAGAATGCAAGCTTCAAAAACTTTAATTCTAGTCCCAACTGTTAGCATTTTGTTTGACCACACTCTCACTGTGAGTTTGGAAAACATTGCACAAGCCTTTCCTGCCCGTCTATTTCATTCTGCATTTAAGAAAGATTATCTATGATATGAATGAACGAATGAATCAAGAATTGAGATCCTTGAACTGGGGACATTCCCACATGTGCTCCATCTCAATCTTCAGTAGCCAAGGAAGAGCTAACATGCCTACAGTACCTGTAACAGCCTGATTAAAAGTCCACCAATGTTTTCCCTGCAGTGCTGGTTATATTGCAGACCCCCTGCTCACGCCTCACTGAATTACTCTATCAATGTATGGATACTTGGTGGGTTAGGTTCATATTAATCTCCCCACATAGAGTAGGTCACTTTTCATTCACAAATTTGTTGAGCTGGTCGACTTTCCTAAAGGTTACGGGTGTGTCCCGCTCTGTTGTTGTTTGCTTTCTGCGTTGTCTTGCATTTACGTTTTTATTCTAAGAAAGAGAATGCCAGTGACATAGGTTGCAGCACTCTCTAGGGGTGTTGTGTTAGGGTCAGTTTATCCATGTGTTTATGATGTTAAAAGCGCTGGCGTGCTGAAATATATAATACGCGATATCAACGGTATTGCGGAACACCCCCCATAACCTTGTGCCAAGGTGACAGATTCAGGAACTACCAACCAGAAGTGAGCTAGTGTGTATATGGAAGAGGCATGGGGAGACCAACCTTACGTGTTCCTACTTGGTGTTTAGCTGAGACGGCAGATCAACATCATGGCACAAGGGGTAACCTATAAGTGCTCCGTTCTACTTCTGACTCAAACCTGAGTCCGAAAAATCTCACTGCTGAAGATATTACCCACCTCCATTCATCTCTCTGGTTGGATTTTTCTTTCCAGTTGGTGACACCAAGTGTTTGCAGGTCTGCCTGGATATTATCTTTCCATCATATGCTTGGTCTGCCTTGTGGTCTACAAAAATTAATCTCCCTCATGTATACAGTTTTTACTTCTCTGTCATCTGACATTCTCCTAATATGCACCAGCCATTTCAGTCTATTAGCCCTCATGATACCAGTGATCAAAGGTGATTGTAAAAGATTAGAAATTTTGTTGTTGCTTCTCACTTTCTATTCCTCACTGTTTGTGCATTTCTGATGGGTCCAACGATTCATCGTACAACTGTTTTCAAAGATTTGTAATAAGGTTTTATCTCTTTTACTTGTGCTCCATGTTTTAGAGCCACATAAAACAACCAATTGTGCTGATTGGTCTACAAAAATATGTCACAGCAACGAATGACCAATTGGTCCTTCATTTTCTGAAAACAAAACTGAAGATATTAATTTTAAAGGTAAGCAGTCAAACAGGCGGAACAGTGTCTCTTTGTGTGCCAAGTCATTTACAGCAGGATACAAATGTGAAGCTGAGTTCAGGAATGTAGTAGATAAGCAAACAATTCTGAAGGGAAAAAGAACATTTGTAACATCAAATAACATAAACATTGAGTTTCTAAATGCGACAGCAAGAGATCTGATGAGTTGGGGTGAGCCGATTGAGGGTCTGTGCTCCACGAAGGGATAAAGAGAATAAGAAGAAGAAGAAAACAAATGGTTCTGAATCATCTGTAAAATAATTAAAATAATGCTTACGACTGAACATGCTTTCATCTGTCTGGACTATTTGTTCCGTTCTGCATTAGAAAAATATGTGACAGAAAGAAATATTTTATACATAAATCATTTTGTTAATAAAAATTACAATTTTAATAGTCAGGTCAGTTTGAACTTTTTATGAAAAATTACTATAATCATCTAAGCGCTCAGCCCACACCTAACAGTTATTGTGTGAGGGAGTCGGGGGGGAGGGTAAGTGCTCAGCCTGCAACTAACATTTATTGTGTGAGGGGGGAGGGTAAGCGCTCAGCCCACACCTAACATTTATTGTGTGAGGGGGAGGGTAAGTGCTCAGCCCACAACTAACATTTATTGTGTGAGGGGGGGAGGGTAAGCGCTCAGCCCACACCTAACATTTATTGTGTGAGGGGGAGGGTAAGTGCTCAGCCCACAACTAACATTTATTGTGTGAGGGGGGAGGGTAAGCGCTCAGCCCACAACTAACATTTATTGTGTGAGGGGGAGGGTAAGTGCTCAGCCCACACCTAACATTTATTGTGTGAGGGGGAGGGTAAGTGCTCAGCCCACACCTAACAGTTATTGTGTGAGGGGGGAGGGTAAGTGCTCAGCCCACACCTAACATTTATTGTGTGAGGGGGGAGGGTAAGTGCTCAGCCCACACCTAACATTTATTGTGTGAGGGGGGAGGGTAAGTGCTCAGCCCACACCTAACATTTATTGTGTGAGGGGGGAGGGTAAGTGCTCAGCCCGCAACTAACATTTATTGTGTGAGGGGGAGGGTAAGTGCTCAGCCCACACCTAACATTTATTGTGTGAGGGGGAGGGTAAGTGCTCAGCCCACACCTAACATTTATTGTGTGAGGGGGAGGGGGAGGGTAAGTGCTCAGCCCACACCTAACATTTATTGTGTGAGGGGGAGGGGGAGGGTAAGTGCTCAGCCCACACCTAACATTTATTGTGTGAGGGGGAGGGTAAGTGCTCAGCCCACACCTAACATTTATTGTGTGAGGGGGGAGGGTAAGTGCTCAGCCCACACCTAACATTTATTGTGTGAGGGGGAGGGTAAGTGCTCAGCCCACAACTAACATTTATTGTGTGAGGGGGAGGGTAAGTGCTCAGCCCACACCTAACATTTATTGTGTGAGGGGGAGGGTAAGTGCTCAGCCCACACCTAACATTTATTGTGTGAGGGGGAGGGGGAGGGTAAGTGCTCAGCCCACAACTAACATTTATTGTGTGAGGGGAGGGTAAGTGCTCAGCCCACACCTAACATTTATTGTGTGAGGGGGTTGGGGGGGGGGTAAGCGCTCAGCCCACACCTAACATTTATTGTGTGAGGGGGGAGGGTAAGCGCTCAGCCCACACCTAACATTTATTGTGTGAGGGGGAGGGTAAGTGCTCAGCCCACACCTAACATTTATTGTGTGAGGGGGTTGGGGGGGGGGGGGTAAGCAATCAGCCCACACCTAACAGTTATTGTGTGGGGGAGTTCAAGGTGTCTAAGCTCGCAGGTTTCTGTGTCCTGCAGGCAAGGGTGAATCACCATTGTTAGCCTCAGGCTAGAACCTAACAGACTAAACGAACACATGTGTAGATTTCACCAGTCTGTCTGACCTCTGTACATGTGTGAAACAAGCGAATAGACTGCTGAACAAGCTCTACAGAATTGCTGTCCATGCAGCATACTAAAAAAAAAACCCACACACACTATAACTAGCCTAATGAATCAACACTTAGTTCCAAGCAGTGTGGAATTAAAGAAAAGCTCCAGAAGAGTTCAACAGAAGGTTATCATCAAACATATGTTTTTAAGAAGAAGAATACAAAGTATGCCTATGGTAATGAAACAGACAAAACTAATCAACAACTTGTCCTTCTTAACTATGTTATCACAATCAACATCGCTGCAAACTGGCAATTCTCAGAGATGTTGGCTATAAAATCTCATATCTTGATTTAGAAAAGAGTACAGATGTGCAACACCAGATTTTACTCTCAGGACATGTAATTGTGTAATTACTGACCACATATTTATTTACCTTCTGAAGTGATTTTTCTGGCTGTTAAATGAGTTAGCTTCATCGATCATCTCTCTTGATGGTTGCAGTTTATTGCTGCAATACAATAATATGTTGTTCGCTGCATGTGTAAGTATTTTTAATAACGAGTACACAATACGTTGCACAATTTATTCTCTGGCAAATACAAGGTGGCGCAAGCGCACGTATGTACGTGCATGTGTGCGTGCGTGCATGCGCCTGTGTATGTGTGTATGTGTGTGATGCTAGTTGTGAAGTGGTTTTGACAGCTACAACATTGGTCAGTTAAAAACCGGGAAACAGTTGCCAGTTGTAGTCGCATTTAACTGGCACACAGAACATAAGGTCAGGGGTCACGTCAACAGTGGCAGTAGCAGACAACTATCACCTGCTCAAACTGACCAGTTTTCAATCAATGATGTGCTAGCCTCCTACTATATGCTTTCCTTATTTGGCTGCATAAAGAATAGAGTATGTACCCAAAAACTTGAGATGGAAATTACTGCACTAGAACAAAGTTAAGAAAACTTGAAACTATTAAATCAGGATATCTGGATATCTGAACCTTTCAACTGATTCTCAACTAATAAACCTGCTAAGTAGAGACGATATTAGGAGAACATATAAGATCAATGAGATGATGTTAGGACAACATCTAAGATCAATGAGACGATGTTAGGACAACATCTAAGATCAATGAGATGATGTTAGGACAACATCTAAGATCAATGAGACGATGTCAGGACAACATATAAGATCAATGAGATGATGTCAGGACAACATCTAAGATCAATGAGATGTTGTCAGGACAACATCTAAGATCAATGAGACGATGTCAGGACAACATCTAAGATCAATGAGATGATGTCAGGACAACATCTAAGATCAATGAGATGATGTTAGGACAACATCTAAGATCAATGAGACGATGTTAGGACAACATCTAAGATCAATGAGATGATGTCAGGACAACATCTAAGATCAATGAGATGATGTCAGGACAACATCTAAGATCAATGAGGTGATGTCAGGACAACATCTAAGATCAATGAGATGATGTCAGGACAACATCTAAGATCAATGAAGAGCTGAAATCTTGTCTGTTAATATAGGTGATCTTCAGATAACTCAACTGCCAGAGCCTGGATCTTTTATGACTAAGAATTACTACATTTTTTATTTGCATTAGAAACAGTGTTATGTTAGTTGCGTATCCTTTACAGGACGTTGCAGAACCAACCCCAGCAGCCCCTGGCTGTTGTTTGGTTTCTCTAGGCAAATTTACTTCCAGTAGTTTGCCATTGCGTTCTGGACGGTCGGCCCCCTGATACCACTGTCGAAACCAACGCAAGGCGCATGGCTCGCAGCTGGGATCAAACCTGGCACCCTGGCATTATGAAGCGTTCACATCGACTTAACCACAGAGCCGACAGAAGCAGTGTATGATAGTCAAAAAACACGAAGTAGGATTTGCCATTAGAAACTCTGATCAGAGCACATTTAGGCATTTCAATTCAATACTAATGTTGGCCTGTTCATTTCATGACTGCAGTCACTCACACTGCCTTCCACATTTAACACCAAAGATGAAGTAGACCTTTGAGATGATGAATGTCTCCAAAATGGTTTAAAGACTGTATCCAAAATATATGATACACACCAGTCAGCATCATGATATTCAGGAAATTGAAATCATCATTTGGATAGTCCAGCATGTCATGTAGGTCTTCCAGATGGTGATGCTTCTGTTTCACTGTTTCAGCATCAATTTAAAATAAATTTTCTGCTTAGCCAGCTAAACCAATACTTGTCCTCATCACTTTTGCAAGTTCTCAGATGGTGACTTTACGGTTCTTCATGACTAAGGTTTGCACCAGGTTTATGACTTTAGTTTTTTGTGTGGTTTGATGAGGGCCTACTGGAACATGACTTTCTATTTTCTGATGTGAAACCATCTTTGAAGTAACAGAATAAACTCAGTAATTTGTGTATTGCTCTTGGCATCACTGAAAAATGCTTGTTGCTTTCTCTGAATGGTTTCTACTTGGACATCACCATGCTTTAGCCAACATTTGATGCAATACTACTACTCAAGTAATTTCATCACAAATAAAAAATCTGACAGGGGCTGACTACTCTGACTCACTCTTAGGCCAAATGCCGCTGACTGAGAGGGCTATAGCTGGTAAAAAATGCCGCTGACTGAGAGTGCTATAGCTGGTAAAAAATGCCAGTGACTAAGAGTGCTATAACTGGTAACAAATGCCAGTGACTGAGAGTGTTATGGCTGGTAAAAAATGCCAGTGACTGAGAGTGCTATAGCTGGTAAAAAATGCCAGTGACTAAGAGTGCTATAGCTGGTAAAAAATGCCAGTGACTGAGAGTGCTATAGCTGGTAAAAAATGCCAGTGACTGAGAGTGCTATAGCTGGTAAAAAAATGCCAGTGACTGAGAGTGCTATAGCTGGTAAAAAATGCCAGTGACTAAGAGTGCTATAGCTGGTAAAAAATGCCAGTGACTGAGAGGGCTATAGCTGGTAAAAAATGCCAGTGACTGAGAGGGCTATAGCTGGTAAAAAATGCCAGTGACTGAGAGTGCTATAGCTGGTAAAAAAATGCCAGTGACTAAGAGTGCTATAGCTGGTAAAAAATGCCAGTGACTAAGAGTGCTATAGCTGGTAAAAAATGCCAGTGACTAAGAGTGCTATAGCTGGTAAAAAATGCCAGTGACTGAGAGTGTTATGGCTGGTAAAAAATGCCAGTGACTGACAGTGTTATGGCTGGTAAAAAATGCCCAGCCATTAACAATTTACACTCATTTACCGCAATAACAGAAACAAAATTAACATAATCACATGAAACTTTTTAAAGGAAAATGGCAAACCTTACTTACTTACTTAGTCGCTCCTCTTCTACCTTGGGGTGTAGAAGTTTGCAAGAGAGATCTCTAGACTTCTCTATCAGCAGTTTTCTTCCTGGCTTTGTTGCATTACAGTCCTCTGTCAGTTAGGGACTGTTGGATGTTGTCTTTCAGCGGACCCTTGGTCGCCCTGGAGTTCTGGTTCCCTGGTTCTTAGCTACCCATGGTGGCTGATTTTCTATCATTTTGCAATCATGTCCAAACCATTGTAACTGTCACTGATCCGCTCGGGTTTACAAGGCTTGGGTTTCAAGATCTTGACATATTGCCTGATTGTGGACTTTGTCCTTTCTTGTCACTTGGATCACCTTTCTCAGATATCTCATTTTTGAGGCTTCAAGCTGGCTTCTGTGAGCTGTTGTCACTGCCCCTGGCTCGCAACCATAGGTTAAGACTGGCACATAGTGTCATATGACGCCTCTGTCGCATGTCTTCTTCTTCTTCTTTCGTTCGCTTGAAATATATTATCTATATCTGCAATGTTGTCTCCAGTATGAACTTCACTGTCTTTTGTATTTCACTCAGTGACCCGTAAAGTTTGACTTGCACCGATGTTTCTCTTGGCCAACAGTTTTGCCTTAATTTGTTGTATTTGGGACACTTTTGGAGGACATGATCTGTTGTCTCAGGTGCCAATCCACATGTGCACTGATGTGCTGATTCACCGATTTTAAATTGTGTGTACATGTCGCTGCGAAGTTGACTGTGTCCAGTTCTAAGGCGTAGAATAATAACTTGCTTTGATCTGTCCATAAATGGTAATCGTCTTGTGCCGGTTTTTGGTGACTTTCTGATTGATTTGATTATTCTTCTTTTGTTGATAAGATACAGGTACATTAGGCTGTTCTTCATTTGCACCTTCCTTAGCTTTTTCATCAGCTCTTTAATTTCCAGGAACTACACAGTGGGATGGTATTCATTGTATAGAGACCTTACACCGGCTGCCTAGTTTGGAGAGTAGTGTTCGTTTACCAGGTAGTTTTCCAGATTGGAGTGCCTGAAGCACAGCTCTTGCATCTGTCAGAAATACCACAGGTTGTGAAATATGATGTATATTTAACATTTTTTTTGCTGCTATTTCGACAGCTTGAACTTTTGCATCATAGTTGTGGCAGTGCTTTCCTGTTGGTATTTTGGCTGTACATCTGGTATTATTTGGATGCTCAATATACACTCCTGCTCCTCCATTTCTGCTTGCGTTTTGTGGTGACCCATCCGTATAAATGCGATGTCTCTAGTAGGGAAATCACTTACCTGTGAGTGAATTCATAACATAACTCACTCCCAATAGATTTAGGAACTAACTGAGTACTTATCCTGGCATCTTGACCCATGCATAAAAAAAGGACTATATACTTATAGAGGAAGAGTACATATTTGAACTAAGACAATTTGTATAGAGGGGTACAAGACCAGACAGGTGTTCTGCTGTCATGCGACACATAGGTAGAGCAGTAAATAGCCATTTTCGTCCTTTTGTCAATTTATTTTTTGTTAAGAAACCCTCAGTTTATGGTATGGAAGAGTCTACCAGCAGCTGCTTTGCTTGTAGCCAACTCAGTCTGAATCCTTCGTTTCGGCCTACTATAACTCCAAGGTAATTTGAACTGGCTGACATGCTCCAATGCATGCTGTCCCATCATGATCTGGTGTTTCTTCTCCTCTCTTGAGATCACCATAGTTTTAGTTTTGGAGATACTGATGGTCATCCCTCACTTTTCAAGCTCTTCCTACCAGACAAGTAAGTTGGATTGAAAGTGTGCCTCTGATTTAGCAATCGGGGTCACATCGTCTGCAAATGCAAGCTCTGATATACAGATTGGTCTTATCTTCCAGTACCCTACTGAGTACTTTTTTTGTCTTCTCCTTACAGGTCTAGACGACATCATCCATCATAAGAAGAAAGTGGTAAGGAGTTAGCGAACTTGAATTAAAATGTGTCTAAATAATAAGCTATTGAGTGGATACACATTAGACAGTTTACCACTGTTGACAAATGTGACAAAAGATGATAAACTCCTATCAGATATTGTTTTTTTCCCATCAAACAGTTTGTGCCTTTTTTTTGGGCCTTGCAGCCAATGTGAACAGAAAATGATAAACTTACGTCATAATGGTTTTTCTTTCAGAAAGAACATCAAATGCTTCATCAAGCAGCTTGTGAATGTTGAGCCTTGCGTTCTCCAAGGAGTCTTTGTTACCCCCTTTATTTACTTCATTCTGAAAATGAAGAAAAAACATTTTTTTTTTTATCGCTACATTATGCTCTGAGCAGACCAAAACTTACATATTAGACAACCCAGCGAAGAATGTTAGAAATTTATCTCTACATCATTATCATCATCATCAGGTGCCTTGCCGACTGGCGTGGGCGATCATGCCTCTCCATAATCCGCGATCTCCTGCAGCATGTATACTCTCACTAAAACTCAAACTCAAGCCCTAGTGTATAGCTGAAGTTCTGCACAAAACCTAAATATATAAATACGATTTAGTCAAAAGCGCCGTTTGAAATGTTATTTGACCAGATCTCAACCTTAAAACCTACATTTACTGACTGGATTGGGTGGCTAAAAGGCTAAACTTGTGGACATCAGTACCACATAACGCTACCTCCTAAACAAGCAAGCATTAAAAGCCAATGAAAACCTGATGATTCTCAAACCAAACAAAGAATGCGGTGTCATAGTATTGAATAGGTCTGACTAGTAAGCTACAAGTATTTATCCTGTTAACTTATCGAGGGAAAGATATCACAAAGCGTTGGCAGGACCAACAATAAACAGCTGTTGGCCAAACAATCTTTGCAGATGTTCCAGTGTTGAGATACAAGACCACTTCTTTCCCAACCCTGCTCATCAAAGAACTAGTGTCACCGTACACCAGATCCAACTGTATTTATCAATTTATATGCAAGTGCCAGTTGACTTACATTGGTTGAACGGAGAGACAACTTGAAAACATAGTGACAGAACATATATCCAAATGGCTCCAAGCAAAGCTGAGTGAACCAAAAAGGAAAATTCCTAACTCTTCTATAGGACATGGTTTGCATGAATCCGGATATATAATTGATAAGGACAGTGCTTTTTATATGATTTACCATACACCTAACAGGCTTTGCTTTCTGTGGTGCCTCTAGCAACTGCCATATACATTTGCTGCGTGCCAGGACTAACTGCTTGTTAACCAGTTTTTCAAATGTGACAGTGACGGACATTTCAGTTGATTTTCACTGGCACATGGTGTTATTATTTTCCTTCTTTACCAAAAATCATTCCAAGTGATTTTTTTTTGCATTTAAACAGAAACTCAGATTTTTTCCACCAAATTTGAAACTTTGTTAACTTGCTTCTACAATCCTGCAAGATCTTTTTTCTGTTCTCCAAACAGCAGCATAATCAGAATACTGTGACAACTGTTTTTTTTTAAATATTTTTTTTAATATCTGTGAGCTTCTCACTGAGGCCATTCATCATTATTACAAAAATAAGATTGCAAAAAAAACAAAAACATACAAATAAAAAAATAAAAAGATTTTTAACTAACTAGAATGGGTTGACAACATCCAGAAGTCCTGCATCAAGAAACAATCTTGAAAGAGCTGACAAACCTGCCAGGTGTATGACATGAGGACAAGCGTGTAGAAACCTGTTGGAGAGGTGTATGACATGAGGACAAGCATGTAGAAACCTGTTGGAGAGGTGTATGACATGAGGACAAGCGTGTAGAAACCTGTTGGAGAGGTGTATGACATGAGGACAAGCATGTAGAAACCTGTTGGAAAGGTGTATGACATGAGGACAAGCGTGTAGAAACCTGTTGGAGAGGTGTATGACATGAGGACAAGCATGTAGAAACCTGTTGGAGAGGTGTATGACATGAGGACAACAAGCGTGTAGAAAACCTGTTGGAAAGGTGTATGACATGAGGACAAGCATGTAGAAACCTGTTGGAAAGGTGTATGACATGAGGACAAGCATGTAGAAACCTGTTGGAGAGGTGTATGACATGAGGACAAGCATGTAGAAACCTGTTGGAGAGGTGTATGACATGAGGACAAGCGTGTAGAAACCTGTTGGAAAGGTGTATGACATGAGGACAAGCATGTAGAAACCTGTTGGAAAGGTGTATGACATGAGGACAAGCATGTAGAAACCTTTTGGAAAGGTGTATGACATGAGGACAAGCGTGAAGAAACCTGTTGGAAAGGTGTATGACATGAGGACAAGCATGTAGAAACCTGTTGGAAAGGTGTATGACATGAGGACAAGCATGTAGAAACCTGTTGGAAAGGTGTATGACATGAGGACAAGCGTGTAGAAACCTGTTGGAAAGGTGTATGACATGAGGACAAGCGTGTAGAAACCTGTTGGAAAGGTGTAGGACATGAGGACAAGCGTGTAGAAACCTGTTGGAAAGGTGTAGGACATGAGGACAAGCGTGTAGAAACCTGTTGGAAAGGTGTATGACATGAGGACAAGTGTGTAGAAACCTGTTGGAAAGGTGTATGACATGAGGACAAGTGTGTAGAAACCTGTTGGAAAGGTGTATGACATGAGGACAAACGTGTAGAAACCTGTTGGAAAGGTGTATGACATGAGGACAAGTGTGTAGAAACCTGTTGGAAAGGTGTATGACATGAGGACAAGCATGAAGAAACCTGTTGGAAAGGTGTATGACATGAGGACAAGCATGTAGAAACCTGTTGGAAAGGTGTATGACATGAGGACAAGCGTGTAGAAACCTGTTGGAAAGGTGTATGACATGAGGACAAGCGTGTAGAAACCTGTTGGAAAGGTGTATGACATGAGGACAAGCGTGTAGAAACCTGTTGGAAAGGTGTATGGACATGAGAGGACACAAGTGTGTAGGAACCTGTTGGAAAGGTGTATGACATGAGGACAAGTGTGTAGAAACCTGTTGGAAAGGTGTATGACATGAGGACAAGTGTGTAGAAACCTGTTGGAAAGGTGTAGGACATGAGGACAAGTGTGTAGAAACCTGTTGGAAAGGTGTATGACATGAGGACAAGCATGTAGAAACCTGTTGGAAAGGTGTATGACATGAGGACAAGCGTGTAGAAACCTGTTGGAAAGGTGTATGACATGAGGACAAGTGTGTAGAAACCTGTTGGAAAGGTGTATGACATGAGGACAAGTGTGTAGAAACCTGTTGGAAAGGTGTATGACATGAGGACAAGTGTGTAGAAACCTGTTGGAAAGGTGTATGACATGAGGACAAGCGTGTAGAAACCAGCTGTGAGGCAAAGAAAGAAGAAATGCAAATCAATTCCTACTGGGGGTTAAGTAAGAAGACATTGAGATCGCTGCTGCATCAGAGGAGGGAGCCCCAGTGGGTCAGACTGATATGCTATTATGTCGATTCAGAAAACAAGTAACCCACAATTAAGAAGTATTGCAAACACTGTTGGACACAAAATCAAGCCTTAGGGGATTTGTTTCGTAAAGATGTGAGTATTTGTTATTTACATTTACTTCCCTGTCTGGGTTGCAGAGCCCAGTTGGGGGGGGTGGGGGGAAGGGGGGGGAGAAGGAGAGAGAGAAAGGGGGGGGGAGAACAACTAAATCAAATAAAAAAAAAGGGGGGGGAGAAAGGGGGGGGGGAGAAAGGGGGGGGGTGGAACAGATCTACTGCTCTTCTTAAAGGCATGTTGTAAAAGGTAACTAATTAAGAGTGTTTCCTTTGAGCTCAAGAGTGCATCTGCCTGACTGGCAAAGAACCAAAAGACTGCATACAAATAAGCCTGATTTGTAAAATGGATGTGCATGGGAAAAGTTCTGCACAAGACCAAAGTCCAGAAGTGGATGAACAACCAGAACTAGCCAAAAGTTTACAGCCAGGGAGTGCTAAGACGAAGGATATTTTCCTCTACTGTGAAAAAAAAACTTGTATTTATATATTTATCAAAATATTCCCATCTTCTAAATTTGTATTAAGCATCCCTCCTAATTTTTTTTTTTTTAAAGATAGACTAGGTTATGCTATATAGGTTATTCTCTGTAAAATAGCCCTGGTAACCAGGTCAGCATGGACCTGGGGCAAAATACAATTGCTCTAGAAAAGATAACTTCAAAATAAAAAAATAATCCCAAGCCTAAGGCTAACCTATGTGCTGACGATGGGCTGAATTACTGTGGGATATTAGTTAGTTAGTTAGTTAGTTAGTTGGGTTATCCTCATTGCACTCAGGACATGTCCATAGGTGCTCAGATCCTCCCCTCAGTATGAACCCCAACGTCCGATGGCTAATAGTACCAGTAATAGTACTGTGGGATATATGCAATCGCAAGCATGGACACCAGGTCATTTTTATCAACTGTTTAAATGTACATAATTTAGTTACTTTGTCAATCATTTATAATCTGACCAACTACATTAGAAAATGCTCACAAGTTTGTTATGTATTTCAACATTATCTGCTCCATTTGTGAGGATGCCTCCATGAGGGCTGAAATAAAAATGAAAAAGTATAACAGCAGGTATAAAGATACAGATCACAGGAAAAACCTACGAAAGGTATCAATGACAAAACACAAATAAATCACATGAGTATTACTTTCCCAGAGGTCAAATATATATACAATATTTCTCTATAATGTTCTTATTTCTGCTTCTGTGTATTTGTTATGGTTTTTGGCTTATATGATTCTAATTTTGCTATTTATTTAAATCTACTTATTTACTTCCCTTCTTTCTCTATTTTTTAAGCGTTTAGGGTGTTATTAATGCTTTATGTTTATGTTTCATTTTCCCAAGGCCTAGGGGTCTCCATGACAAAGTGGTCAAACTGTTTGCCTTGCATTTCCAAAGGTCATACGTTCGTTCCACGGTGGCACGATCCAGTTCACAAACACAATTTTTACGGAAATCCGTGGGTGTCATTGCTGGAGCTATGCAGTTCGTGCTTTGTGTGACCCTTTCGGCAGGTGACTAGCCATTCTGAGGAGAGAGAGACCAAGCCATATGGGATAAAATGTAGTGCAATTAGGTCAATCCTCTTGACTTTTATCTTTTCCAAGGCCTTCTATATACATGTTCCTTCCTGAATACTTTTAACCTGCAGCTGACAGTCATCTTGTTTGCTAAGTGTTAAACGACCTGGTATTTATTTCAGACTGTTACCATCAACTGGTCCTAACTACTTTATGAGTTTTAAGATTATTTTAGTTCCCATGTTTGTAAGACCTGAATCCCTTGAATTTCAGCTTAAATAAACCGGCTCAAATATACCGGCTCAAATATACAGGCTCAAATATACCGGCTCAAATATACCAGCTCAAATATACCAGCTCAAATTTATTGGCTCAAATATACCAGCTCAAATATACCAGCTCAAATATACCAGCTCAAATATACCAGCTCAAATATACCAGCTCAAATATACCAGCTCAAAATACCAGCTCAAATATACCAGCTCAAATATACCAGCTCAAATATACCAGCTCAAATATACCAGCTCAAATATACTATTCAGCAGTAAGTCATCTGAATTTACATCTGCACTTCTCCAAAGATTTTCAAATCCTGGCAGTAGCAAAACTGGGGTATATAATTAAAAGAGAAAGAAAGACAGGGGAAGACCAAGACATATGATGCTAGACAGTACAGCATTATACCATGGAAAGACTTTAATCAATAATGATTAGTAGTAGATACGACAGATGGCTGTCTCAACTAATTGCTGAATCTATTGCTGAATCAGCATTTTGTTCATGATTTACTGTAAAAAGTGCAGACTGCAAATTTTTATTCAGCTGTTACCTAACAATTTCTTTATGTTTTCTGAAATCAGCATCATTCTTTTTTTTCACTGCTTCTGGAATGACTGGCGGCATCAGGGCAGGAAGAGATCTCTTCAATGGGCCCTTCTTTTTGCTTCGTATAAAGTACTTTTCAATGTCTCTGATACTTCTTCGGTCTATTTTCTGCGGGGTCAGCCTCTGGTTCTGTTACTGTTGTATCCGTATAATATTTCTCTCTGTGGTGACTTGTCTGATGCCAATCTTGTTATATCGTCAAACCATTTGATTTGTTGTTTACCTATAAAGTTCAGTATTGATTCTGTGCCGACTCTCCTCTTGATATCATTATTCCTAGGTCGATCTTTCCTCGTTACTCCAGCTGAGTACGTAGACATTTCATTTCTGTGGTTACCATTTTCCTTCTGTCTTCTGAAAACAGTGTCTATGTTTGACACTGATAACACAGTGTTGGTAAGAATATTGTATTGAACAGTTTTCTTTATTGTTCGTATTCACATGCTTGCATTTCAAAATTGGTGCCATTTGGCCTAAAACTTAATTGGCTTTACTGCATCTTTGTTAGATTTCTTTATTAATTCTTCCGTCTTCTGAAAAATTTTTCTCCAGATATGTAAAATGCTTTGCCTGCTTTAACTGGGTTTATTAACTTTGATCTTGATGGTTCTTCTACTTTGTCTACGTTGATCTTCATTTCATAGCTGTCGCATTCTGAGTGGAGTCTGTTAATATTGTTCTTGTTGTTGTACTGCTGAAGGTGCTATGATTGCCTGCTCATTAGCGAAAAGCAATTCAATAAGTAATTCTCCGATATTGTCCCCTTCACTGATGTTTACTGATTTGCAAATTTGGTTGACATATGTGGTGAACAGTAGTGGTGACAAAATGCACCCGTCTCACTCCAGATCTAATGGAGAACTTTTCTGACATTCCTGTATCTGTTCTAACTGTGCATTGTCTGTTCACGTATAAACTCTTGCACAGTTTAATAAGATACTCATTTACTTTTCAACTGGTTCTGTACCAGTAGGCGGTGAAATGATGTATGACAAGCTGGATGTTGTGAGGGCCTTTTGGGAGCCAGTGAACAGTGCAGAGGGACAGATAGATCATTACAGTCTGAGGAGAATGGCACTGCGAGGAGTTACAAGGGGATCTGGCTGATGCTCGACACTCAGGGGAAAGGCGAGACGGATATACAATCAGACAGTTACTGGTACCATTAGAATTTTAACTCTTTGCTTGCTGCTGAAGATAAGAACAGATCGATTATGGGGGTGTTGCGAGTACTGTGATGTCGATTCTTAATTCAACATTACTATTCAAAACTCCTCTCCTGATATCAACATTCCTAAGTCAATCTTTCCTTGTTACACCTAGTAAGTAAACATTTTATTTCTGTGGTGACTATTTTCCTTCTGTCTTCTGAAAACAGTGTCCATGTTTGACTTTGATAGCACAGCATTGGTAAGAAGATTGTGTTGAACAGTGTTCTTTTAGTGTTCATATTCACAAGCTTGCATTTCAAAATTGGTGCCATTTGGCCTAAAACTTGATTGGCTTTATTGCATCTTTGTTGGATTTCTTTATCAATTCTTCCGTCTTCTGATAAAATGCTTCAATATATTTCTGCCGTGATGTTTCTTTTGTGTTTCTGACAACATCTCTGCCGATCGGTTTTGCCGCTCTTTATTTTTCAAGATCACCTTGATTTTCCCTTTTCGCCTATGCCTGGTATCTACGTTTCTTATCTTTCACAGCTGTTGTTACTTCCTCATTCCACCAGAGTGTTATTAATGGTCTTGAGCTTCTCTTCTTTATCATTCAGCCTGTTTCTTCTTCTTCTTCGCGTTCACCAGCTGTAAACTCTGGCGGAAGGTTCTGGTTGCTCGTCCACTACTGAACTGCAGTCCTGCTCCAGAACCTGAGTGTTGCGTGTGCATCAGTTTTACAGATTTCAATCTATTGAATACAGACTGTTGGTTCCTTACCTCTCCGGCAGATGCACTCCAACTTCAAAGGAAGCTCCCCAATTAGTCGACTCTTACGACATGCTTTTGGGGAGGCAGTGGGTCTATTCTTGTTTTCCCATGATAGGGCCCCGGAACCCACACGGGGAAGAGGGGGGGGGGGGGGGGGGGGAGCCTGTTTCTCTTGTTGCTTCTAAAATGGATCATTTAAACAATTCCCATTCCTTCTCTTCTGATTTGGTTTCTTTACACAGCTTCGTATAATCTTCAGTAATTTTTAAAAAGGTATGCTTCTTGTGTGTTAGCATTCTTTAAGTCAATAATTTTGTTTGTTTCTTTTGTGACTGAATGTAGCCCTCTGGTGTTCCTCCCACTGTTCATCCTCATTGTCAGCATGACTACCTTGTGGTTAGTGTCTGTACATAGGCTGGGGATTGCTCTTGCGTCTATTACCATTTTTCTCATGTTTCTCTTGATTAGTATATAGTCTATTTGATATAGTCTATTTGACTATTACAGATCAGATCGTTCCATTTACATCACGTATATCTGTGAGACTGGGTGTTGGAAACAAGTGTTAGTTATCAATCAATCCTGCAGCAGCCTGCGGCCATTTTAGTTTTTCTGACTGTTATCTCCTTATTTTCTGATGTATTCTTCTCTTCCTTCCAGTATCCCATTCTTGCATTAAAATCAACAAAGATTATGACATTTATCTTTCTTGACCTTGTTTAGTCTGTTTTTCTTCATCGTCTTCATCATTTTTAGTTACGTTACATGGGGCATATATTTGAACATAAATGTTGTATTTACTCCGTTATTGATTGTCAGATTTGTTACGATTCTTTTAAACTTCCTAGGAAGTCAAACTTGAACTAGACTAATATATTTAGGCTAGTTTAACACAGCTTCCACTCTGGGATGTCTGAAACTGACCCCGGTTAGATGCTGGCTAAAAAATAAACATCCCCTTGCCTCAGAATCTTGATCGGAAGCATCATTATCACCATCATGTATGCACAACATCAATTGTATCAAGACATGCTGAAAGTCAACTCTGTCCCTAGCACATGTTCTGGCCTCATGGACTTTATTTTCTTGCTCAGGGTGTCCTCAATACCCTTTAACCATCGAGCTGGTCTATTCCTGCCTATTCTTCCACAATTCCTGCCTATTCTTCCACAATTTCTGCCTATTCTTCCAGGAACCAACCCCCCCCCCCCCCCCCTTTTCAAACCAGTATGATGTGTGAAATATTTCATTTTCTGAGAAACAATACTGTCTATGAACCAGTCCCCCTCAATATTCAGAATGTGAAACATGGCAGTTTTTCCTTTCCTAGGTCCATTCATAATAGTCTATAAATCTTCATGTAACATATAAATTCAAAAGATCTGATTCTGATTTCTGAAACAGCTTCTGAAAACATTCATCAGATCTAACTTAGCAAACTAGGCATCCATAACAACGAGGAGATCTTTCTTGGAGATGTTGCTCTAGTTATTTGTTTTTTTAATGATTCAATTGTTTGTTGCATCATCATAATCAGCAGTCTTCTTCTTCTGCCTTTCTATCCCCCAATGGAGCATAGGCCCTCAACCAACTCACGCCAAGTCGTTCTATCCTTCGCCATTACATGGAGCTCTCCCCATGTCCTCCCAATCTTTCTAACCTCATTCTCCAGCTCACTTCTCCATGTGTTTTTTTGCCTTCCTTTATTCCTATGCCCCTGTGGGTTCCAATGCAAAGACATTCTAGTTATGCTGTTCTCCTGTTTTCTCAGTGTGTGCCCTATCCAACGCCAGCGTCTTTTCCTCACCTCCTGATCCACTGGAGTCTGTTTAGTTCTCTCCCAAAGTTCTACATTAGTTATTCTATCATACCATTTTATTCCCTCTATTCTGCGCAGGCACCAGTTAATGAATGTCTGTAATTTATTAGTAATTGCCTTCGTTGTTCTCCATGTTTCCGCCCTATACAATAGTACTGATTTGACATTAGAATTAAAAATACAGCTACAACAAAATAATCAGCAGTAGATAAGATAAATATACTTTAATGATAAAATATTATTTGAGTGTGCAGCAACATGTACAGTCATTAGTTTGATGTCTACTGATGGGAATCGTGTAAGATACTTGAATTTGTGTTTATTATTCTAATCCTATCTCATGCTTGTAATCTCTAGTACTAAGCATTTTGTAACCATCACATGACCACCACATGACCATCACACGATCATCACATGACCATCACATGACCATCACCTGTTACCTGCACTTGATGTTACTTTATCTAGTTTGATTCATCTGACCTCTGCTATACCACAGATATTTTACAAATATCTGGATATTTAATTAGTTAACTCTTTATCCTTAATACAGGTATACACATTGTAAATCTTTCAAGCTGTATTAACAATGTTCCTTATGGATAGCTGACAGACAATAATTTTACCTTTAGAACATTATTATATTTAAAGACACATAATATATGTTATTACTCAAGGCCTTGATTTACTTTGCACATTGTAATTTTGTAGGTTAACCATCGACAGTATTAGACGAATTTAAAAACAGACTAAAGAGATAAATCCACATTTAAAACTATCTTTATCACAGCCACAAGGATACTCTCTGCAAAAATGACCCCCAAAAAATAGTTGCAGTCAAGCTAGTATCAAGAAATGAATCTACTGAATAAATATTGTTGTGTTTGTGTCAAAAAAGCTGCTGCAGAAACATTTTTTTTCCCTGCATATGTTTTTCTCCCTCTCCACCTTCATTGAGCTTTTTAGTCACAGTTCAGAAGATATTTCTTGATATTTTCCCGTCAACCTAGAAAGATACTGAGTGCAAAGAGTAACTGCTGTCACACAAACAAATCTGTTTACTTAGTAATCTAATTTCTCTCAAGTAGATGTATATCAGAAGATTATTACAGTAGTACCTCAACATACAAACTTAATTCATTCCTGACCGTAGTTCATATCTCGAAAAAGTCGTATCTCGAAAAGTTCTATCTCGAAACACAATTTTCTATTATATCTTAGGAGAAATCAATGAATCTGTTCTCACATAAAAAATAATTTTTTTTTTTAATTGCCCGCTGGTGCACTGACCAATTGTAGGAAGAACTTTTTCAGGCAGGCCCTTAACTTGTAGATACTATTTCCCTGTGGGAGCAAAGACCTCTGTGTCATAACCTGACAGAAGAATTATTTCTAGTTACCAAATCTCTGCTGTTACTTTTCCCTATAAGGTTGAGTTTGTGTCTGTTAAATTTCTGTTGTTTAAAGACTCTAGGATTTTCAGAGTGATAAACCAACAGAGTTTTTTTCTTCAGATTACTACTGGCATTGAGACAAATGAGCAAAATTATTCTGTCTTTCATCAGTTTGTGTCCTGGCGGTGCCATGTCCTCCTTATCGACAAACGTTCTTTTCAGGATTTTCTTTCAGCAAAGCCGTTTCATTGAGCTGAAAACTGTTTTGGTCTGTAACCCTATGACTCCACCAGTTTCTGAAATTCCTTCACAAACTTATCAGTGTGTTTTTCAGGTTGAAACTAGCCCCTTCTTCTTTTCTAACAACACAATGGAAACCGGTTCTGTTCTTGAATTTCTCAAACTATCCTTTGCTTGCTTCAAACTCCTCCCTGATGTCTTTGCTACTGGTAGTGGATGGCAAGTCCTGGGACAGATCTTTGTAAATAGCTTGTGCTTTTAAATAGGTCGTATTCTTAGATACACTTTCTGCTTTCAGCTGACTGTCATTAATCCAGATGAGTAGTAAAGTTTTAATGTCTTGAATAACTTTATTTCTTAGAGATGACATAACAGATACTTGTTTGGCCACAAGCAATTCCTTGCAAAAGTATGCTTTCTTGAGAACTGAAGCTATGGTGGACTTGAACAAATTATGTAGCTTGCACAAATCAATTTGCCCGACTCCTTTCTCATATATTTCTCACAATCTCTTAATTTCTATTGTGACTTTCTTCTTCTCTTCCTTCTTAGATTTAAATGATACAGGATAGCTACATAATAATAAAAACTGTCCCTCTGCAAGTATATCAACTAATCTTATTTAATTACACAAATACAGAGCCGACAGAGACATACGAAATTGCTTTCACTGCCAGCACAACTCACTATGTTGTATGCCAGATAAATGCCATGGAGTAACAACAAACATGGGCAGTCCATCTCAATTTGTATCTCATATATAGTTTTATACATAGAAGTTAAAATGGGAAGTGAAACCAGTTCTTATCCCAAAAGTTTTTATGTATCTCAAAACGTTTTTATGTAGAGTAATTTGTAAGTTGAGGTACTGTAGTATTTAGAAAATACAAGCTAGCAGAATGTGCCAGAAGGGAACAATCAAGAACAGAGACTGAGGCATCCTCATTTGCTAGAACAAATAGAAGACTTTTCAAAAAATAATTTTAATACGCCTTTGTAGTTCAGAGGTTACTGAATGCATCTAACAATTTTATGATCCTCGAGTATTTGGCAACAATTTCTGCACATGACAGTTTATATTCAAAAGCCATTCTTGCACTATCCACTTTGATTAGTTAAACTCAGTAGATAAAATAATTAAAATGCCTCCCTGTCATATTTTAGCTTCACATTTCTACCGGTTATCAAATATAAATAAGTAATTATACTATCACATCCTAAAATGGCACACTAAAAACAAATAAATGAAAGCTTACCCTTTCAACTTTGAACTCTGGGGTTCCAGGATTTTATCAATTTCTCTCTGAGCATTGAGATAAGCAATATCCAGTTTATCCAAGACTTTAACAGGTGATAAATGTTTATTGTCAAACACATTTTTTGCTCTGACTCTTTCTTTATTCCTTCTCCTTTCTTGCTCTGCATTTTCTAGTAGGTCACTTTCTTCCTGAATATTAAAAAAACCTGTATATTAGCTTTCATTATCTCAAAGCGATAGTTTTCAAAATCAAAATGATGTTGGCTTTTGGCATGAATATGTACTATCACTTGATTTGTTTTCATTTTACAGTGAATATATAATGAGATCTATCATGGCTGACGGTAATAACATAAACAACCTACGTTATGCTGGTGACACTGTCTTGGTAGCGGCAAGTTAAAGAAGCCACCCGGATTGACAGCAAGTTGGAGGAAAGTTATAGAATAGGCCTCAGCTTGAATAATGGGAAGACAGACGTAATGGTAATTTCAAAGAAAAGAACAGTGCCTTAATTTATAATAAAAGTCAAGGCTGTTATTTTAGGACATGTACAGAAATGTAAGTGTCTAAACACAAGTATAACATCCAATGGAACATGTATCACAGAGACAAAGAACACAATAGGACAGGCTGAAGATTCTTTAGATAAAATGAACGAACATTTTATGCAAATTATCCATGTAGTTAGAAAAACATTATTCTCACATGCTATAAAAAGCCAGGTTGTAAAATGCTGGTCAAACAAGCCTAACAATTTCTTGAGGTCTCAGTGATGAGGTTCAATATAAGATTCCTTAGAATTCCTTGGACAGCCAAAAACAGCAACCCAGATGTTTGGAAAGAGGCTTGGCTTGGTTTTTTACCCCACCAGGACATCACACAAGTGATAAACACCCGATGACACAAAGTGCCACCATGCGGATGAGGATCACCGTGGAGAGGTCCCAGAAACCGCGTTCAGACATTTGGCCATAATGATGACCTGCCTATATTGCGGCCCCTGGCAAAAGCCAGAGTGGGGCTTCAAATAACAAAAAATAACGTCCTGAGAAGGACGTAAGGAATATATAAGAAAAGAGGCGAGGGTTTGAAGACAACTTATCATAAACATCAGAAAGAAACAGCCTTCATTTTGTGGTCATGTTTTGGGAAGAAAGAAACTGGAACATGCTGTGACTTTAGGATTGCTCTTTGGAAACAGAGACAGAGAGGAAGATACAGTGAGAGGATACTTGTCAGCCTTTTGACATAGCATGGACGAGTGTCAGCATTGGAACAAATACATGCTGTTGAAGATAGCAGATTGTGGACAGGTATGATTGCCCTTGTCAGTCTGCAAGGAATTTAATGATGATGCTTTTGATATGTATGTATGTGTATTGTATCTCAAATTTGTCTTTTTTCATTTATAGTATTTTTACATTATTTAGCTTCTTTTATAACATGTGCCTATGGTCTCTCTTATAAAATGTTAAAATGTTTTACAATCCATGCCATACAACCAATATACATTAAATAAATATAAGTGTTGTGTGTGAAATCACTGTGGGGTTTAAAGAGTTAATGAAACAAGGACTTCAGCTGACCTCTGGCTGACAGGTTGGGAATGAAAACATTTAGGCCACTTGCATCTAGTGAAGAAGAGGTTGCTTGATATTCAAGGATGACTGCAAACTCCCTGAGTTGTGCGGGGACTGTGAGATCCCTGTAACTGACGGCTGTTGGCGGTAGTGTGAGGTAGTTTGAGTCAGTCAGTATCTTTCAGTTTGTAGGCACAGACTAGAGAGTGTGGGCACAGACTAGAGAGTGTGCGCACAGAATAGAGAGTGTGGGCACATAATAGAGAGTGTGGGCACAGAATAGAGAGTGTGGGCACAGACTAGAGAGTGTAGGCACAGACTAGAGAGTGTAGGCACAGCCTAGAGAATGTGGGCATTGAATATAGAGTGTGTACAGACTAGACCGTGTTGAGAGAGTGAGCACAGAAAAGAGAGTGTGGGCACAGACTAGAGAGTGTAGGCACAGACTAGAGAGTGTAGGCACAGACTAGAGAGTGTAGACACAGACTAGAGAGTGTAGGCACAGACTAGAGAGTGTGAGCACAGCCTAGAGAGTGTAGGCACAGACTAGAGAGTGTGAGCACAGCCTAGAGAGTGTAGGCACAGACTAGAGAGTGTGAGCACAGCCTAGAGAGTGTGGGCACAGACTAGAGAGTGTAGGCACAGACTAGAGAGTGTAGGCACAGACTAGAGAGTGTAAGCACAGCCTAGAGAGTGTAGGCACAGACTAGAGAGTGTAGGCACAGCCTAGAGAGTGTAGGCACAGCCTAGAGAGTGTGAGCACAGCCTAGAGAGTGTAGGCACAGACTAGAGAGTGTAGGCACAGCCTAGAGAATGTGGGCACAGACTAGAGAGTGTAGGCACAGCCTAGAGAATGTGGGCATTGAATAGAGAGTGTGTACAGACTAGACCGTGTTGAGAGAGTGAGCACAGAAAAGAGAGTGTGGGCACAGACTAGAGAGTGTAGGCACAGACTAGAGAGTGTAGGCACAGACTAGAGAGTGTGGGCATTGAATAGAGAGTGTGTACAGACTAGACCGTGTTGAGAGAGTGAGCAAAGAAAAGAGAGTGTGGGCACAGACTAGAGAGTGTAGGCACAGACTAGAGAGTGTAGGCACAGACTAGAGAGTGTAGGCACAGACTAGAGAGTGTAGGCACAGACTAGAGAGTGTGAGCACAGCCTAGAGAGTGTAGGCACAGACTAGAGAGTGTGGGCACAGACTAGAGAGTGTAGGCACAGCCTAGAGAATGTGGGCATTGAATAGAGAGTGTGTACAGACTAGACCGTGTTGAGAGAGTGAGCACAGAAAAGAGAGTGTGGGCACAGAATTAAGAGTGTGGGCACTGATTAGAGAGTGTAGGCACAGCCTAGAGAGTGTAGGCACAGCCTAGAGAGTGTAGGCACAGCCTAGAGAGTGTGGGCATAGATTAGAGAGTGTGTACAGACTAGACCGTGTTGTTGGTTTGCAGAGAGGATAGTTGCACCCATTTCTTGATCTAATTATGAAGGTCATATGCTGCTGAAACCAAAAGTTGGGAGTCAACAACGACTGGCTAACTGTTAGCAGTTCCTGTGTTGTTGATGTGCTGACCAAATAATGGCTGCGGTTCATGAGTTTACACAGAGTACCAGACTGGCCAAGATTATGGCGACCTGTGTGCTAGGAATCCATGTTCTGTGAGGGAGTCGACGCTAATTATCTGAACAGTCCATGTGGGTTATGTGCTTACCATGGAGCTATGTGGAAGTGTTCTGTTCTGGTTACCTGACCTGACATGCTCTGATGTGTTTACTGCTGGGCTTCTAGTGTTGTGACTGGGTTGCGGAAGTCAGCAGCAAGTTGGCATAGCTTTGTGTATATGATGCTGAACTCTATCATTGAAATTTGTTTTTATGGTGTTGTTGTCGATGTGTCTAAAGTATAATTGATTGATCATGCTGATTAAATGTTGTGATCTGGTACATTCATCATTCATAAATGCTTATCCACAGGAAGAGTTAATAACATGTAAACCAAATACTGAAGAGCCTGATTTCGACGAAGTACTCTATGTCATAACACGGCTTAACAACCATAAAGAAACTGGTGCTGATGGAATTGCTGCTGAACCTAGAAAAGAAGGTGGCCATGCATTACAAAAAAAAAAAAATCTAGTTTGGAAGATGAAGAAATTACTCCATGAGTGGAAACAGGCATTATTTTTACTCATTTTTAAAAATGGAGACAAGTATAAATGGGAAAATTATTGCGGAATTTCACTATTATCTACAAGCTGTAAGATACTATTGGTGGTACTGCCAAACAGGCTAAAACGATATGTCGAAGATATATTGGGTGATTACCAAGTGGATACAGAACAGATGTACATATGTTTTTGTGGATTTTAAAAAGGCGTATGATAGTGTACATAGAAACAGTTTATGGAATTCAATGAAGGACTTTGGAATACCAAAAAAGTTAATCACTATGAACAAACTATTTATGGAAGATATTTATAATATAGTAACATATAAAGGCAGAAAGTAAGACCCTTTTTAAATAACATCTGGTTTATAACAAGGTGATGCTTTGTCCCCACTTCTTTTTAACTTGGTCCTTGAGTAAATTATAAGGAGATTAAAAGAAGAGTGTACTATATGAGAAACTACAAGAAATCTTGGTTATGCAGATGACATTGATATCATTGGAGACCGTAAAACACTGATTCTCTTAAAAGAAGCAGCTCACAAAATCACAGTTATCAATCAAGGTAAGACAGAATACAGGACAATAATAATACAAGGAAAGGATTTAAACTCAAGTCACATACAAGTTGATAATATGAAAATGAAGCAAACAGAAACATATAAGTTCTTGGGTGCAAACTTCAACTGTCCCAACATGCTGAGAGAAGAAATACAATCTAGAATACAATCTAGAATACAATCTAGAATACAATCTAGAATACAATCTAGAATACAATCTAGAATACAATCTAGAATACAATCTAGAATACAATCTAGAATACAATCTAGAATACAATCGAGAATACAATCTAGAATACAATCTGGAAATAAAGTATGCCTTTCAGCATCTGCTATAGTCAAAGTGTCTCTCTCACAACACCAAGATCAAAATGTATCAAACATTGATAAGACCAGTAATTTTATATGGTGCTGAAACTTGCAGCACAACTAAAAGAGATAAAGCCTTAATAGACATCTGTAAAAAACAGTCTTAAGACAAATCTTTGGACCCATCAAAGATGCAAACAGCGGGGATTGGAGATTGAGAAGCAGCAACAAAATTCATAATCTGTTTAAATCACCTCTTATCAAGGCATCATGACAGCTAATAGACTGAAAAAACAAAAAAGGAATAAAATGTCTTAAGTTTTTTTTATCTGTGTGGGTTACTGCATGATGCATTCAGTAAGGTTTAAAAAAAAAGTAAAAAAAAAAAAAACAATCAACTTTTCACATTTTTAAAGGCATAAGTAAACAGATTATTGAAAAATAAACACAGAAGGCAGGCTGTATGGCTAAGCACAACACCTAATATTGAGCTTACTTTAAAAAACAGGCAAAATTTGTAGGAAAAGAATAAGAGGTTGTTCAAGAAATAACTACATAAAACACAGATATGTAAGGACAAGGGGTTCAGAGTTACAAAGAGCTGAAGAGAAATAATGTGTACTGGATACTACAACCAGCATCACCTGTTGTGCAATCAGCTTCACCTGTTGTGCAATCATCATCACCTGTTGTGCAATCAGCATCACCTGTTGCACAATCAGCATCATCTGTTGTGCAATCAACATCACCTGTTGTGCAATCATCACCACCTGTTGTGCAATCAGCATCACCTGTTGTGCAATCAGCATCACCTGTTGTGCAATCATCACCACCTGTTGTGCAATCAGCATCACCTGTTGTGCAATCATCATCACCTGTTGTGCAATCATCACCACCTGTTGTGCAATCAGCATCACCTGTTGTGCAATCATCATCACCTGTTGTGCAATCAGCATCACCTGTTGTGCAATCATCATCACCTGTTGTGCAATCATCACCACCTGTTGTGCAATCAGCATCACCTGTTGTGCAATCAGCATCACCTGTTGTGCAATCATCATCACCTGTTGTGCAATCAGCATCACCTGTTGTGCAATCATTACCACCTGTTGTGCAATCAACATCACCTGTTGTGCAATCAGCATCACCTGTTGTGCAATCATCATCACCTGTTGTGCAATCAGCATCACCTGTTGTGCAATCATCCCCACCTGCTTTGCAATCAGCATCACCTGTTGTGCAATCAGCATCATCTGCTGCGCAATCAGCATCACCTGTTGTGCGATCAGCATCACTTGTTGTGTAATCAACATCACCTGTTGTGCAATCAGCATCACCTGTTGTGCAATCATCATCATGTGTTTTGCAATCAGCATCATCTGCTGCGCAATCAGCATCACCTATTGCACAATCAGCATCACCTGTTGCACAATCAGCATCACCTATTGCACAATCAGCATCACCTATTGCACAATCAGCATCACCTATTGCACAATCAGCATCACCTATTGCACAATCAGCATCATCTGCTGTGTAATCAGCATCACCTGTTGTGCAATCAGTATTACCTGTTGTGCAATCAGTCTCACTTGTTGTGTATTCAGCATCACATGTTGTGCAATCAGCATCACCTGTTGTGCAATCAGCATCACCTGTTGTGCAATCAGCATCACTTGTTGTGCAATCAACATCACGTGTTGTGCAATCAGCATCACTTGTTGTGTAATCAACATCACGTGTTGTGCAATAAGCATCACCTGTTGTGTAATCATCATCATGTGTTTTGCAATCAGCATCATTTGTTTTGCAATCAGCATCACTTGTGCAATCAGTATCATGCGTTGTGCAATAAGCACAGGTAGTCATGGTTCGTCATTTAACACATCACCAGAATCATGTTTCAGATCTGTTGTTTACCCCCTCATGCTGTTCTCAAGCCATCCGAATAGTTATACCCGTGTCTTCCGCTGTCATGCTCTTTTCCTTTAAAGTTTGCCATTTATCATAAAGTTTTCAAGTTATTAACTCGTACAAGTCCAAAAAATCCTCCAGAAAACTGTGTAGTTTTAACTTCAGCTGTAATTCTTATTTGTAGCATTTTCATTTAATTTCATTTCACACACGCACACACATGCACCTATGCGTGCACATGCACGGTTATTAATAAGCTAACTATTTACATATTCATGCCAAAATGTATTTTTAAAACTGCATAAATCAAGGGCACATCCGGATGATTTTTGCTGTACACTGACTGGTTTCTAAGAAAGAAAAAATTACATATTCCTCTTATAGACATTTACTGACCTCTACTGTTGGCTGTGATCTCAATGTTTGAACAGTCATGGAAGAAGTTTCTGGGACATCAGTGCCAAGACTTGCTATTTGGTTTTTGTAAACTAGTTGGATATCTAAACAAACACAGTGTCCCAAAAAGTATTAGTTAATTTTATAAAATATCTGAATGATTTCAAAGGTCTGTTCATTCCTACATTCACCTTATAACATTAAGTCATGGATTTATTATTACAGGATTTTTATTCAAATGTGGTTTGTTATGTGGCAGTAACAAGCAGAAAAAAGGTTCCGAAAGAAAATTCCCATTTAAAAACATTTGTGCAGTTTCTAAAAGAATGGTTGGCTGCAATTCTTCCACTGTTGTCTTTACAAATATTATATAATGAGACCCTAATCTTGTACCATTATCTGAAAGCCAAGAAAATTCGTTTTTTTTCTACTTCTCTGTTCAGCGGCTGCAAGCGGAAAGTCCTGGTTGTTTGTCCATTTGAATTTTGGCTGTTTTACTACTTATTTGTGTGCAGCTGGTTGTTTGTCCATTTGAATTTTGGCTGTTTTACTACTTATTTGTGTGCAGCTGGTTGTTTGTCCATTTAAATTTTGGCTGTTTTACTACTTATTTGTGTGCAGCTGGTTGTTTGTCCATTTAAATTTTGGCTGTTTTACTACTTATTTGTGTGCAGCTGGTTGTTTGTCCATTTAAATTTTGGCTGTTTTACTACTTATTTGTGTGCAGCTGGTTGTTTGTCCATTTAAATTTTGGCTGTTTTACTACTTATTTGTGTGCAGCTGGTTGTTTGTCCATTTAAATTTTGGCTGTTTTACTACTTATTTGTGTGCAGCTGGTTGTTTGTCCATTTAAATTTTGGCTGTTTTACTACTTATTTGTGTGCAGCTGGTTGTTTGTCCATTTAAATTTTGGCTGTTTTACTACTTATTTGTGTGCAGCTGGTTGTTTGTCCATTTAAATTTTGGCTGTTTTACTACTTATTTGTGTGCAGCTGGTTGTTTTGTCCATTTAAATTTTGGCTGTTTTACTACTTATTTGTGTGCAGCTGGTTGTTTGTCCATTTGAATTTTGGCTGTTTTACTACTTTATTTGTGTGCAGCTGGTTGTTTGTCCATTTAAATTTTGGCTGTTTTACTACTTAATTGTGTGCAGCTGGTTGTTTGTCCATTTAAATTTTGGCTGTTTTACTACTTATTTGTGTGCAGCTGGTTGTTTGTCCATTTGAATTTTGGCTGTTTTACTACTTATTTGTGTGCAGCTGGTTGTTTGTCCATTTAAATTTTGGCTGTTTTACTACTTATTTTGTGTGCAGCTGGTTGTTTGTCCATTTAAATTTTGGCTGTTTTTACTACTTATTTGTGTGCAGCTGGTTGTTTGTCCATTTAAATTTTGGCTGTTTTACTACTTATTTGTGTGCAGCTGGTTGTTTGTCCATTTAAATTTTGGCTGTTTTACTACTTATTTGTGTGCAGCTGGTTGTTTGTCCATTTAAATTTTGGCTGTTTTACTACTTATTTGTGTGCAGCTGGTTGTTTGTCCATTTAAATTTTTGGCTGTTTTACTACTTATTTGTGTGCAGCTGGTTGTTTGTCCATTTGAATTTTGGCTGTTTTACTACTTATTTGTGTGCAGCTGGTTGTTTGTCCATTTAAATTTTGGCTGTTTTACTACTTATTTGTGTGCAGCTGGTTGTTTGTCCATTTGAATTTTGGCTGTTTTACTACTTATTTGTGTGCAGCTGGTTGTTTGTCCATTTAAATTTTGGCTGTTTTACTACTTATTTGTGTGCAGCTGGTTGTTTGTCCATTTAAATTTTGGCTGTTTTACTACTTATTTGTGTGCAGCTGGTTGTTTGTCCATTTAAATTTTGGCTGTTTTACTACTTATTTGTGTGCAGCTGGTTGTTTGTCCATTTAAATTTTGGCTGTTTTACTACTTATTTGTGTGCAGCTGGTTGTTTGTCCATTTGAATTTTGGCTGTTTTACTACTTATTTGTGTGCAGCTGGTTGTTTGTCCATTTAAATTTTGGCTGTTTTACTACTTATTTGTGTGCAGCTGGTTGTTTGTCCATTTAAATTTTGGCTGTTTTACTACTTATTTGTGTGCAGCTGGTTGTTTGTCCATTTGAATTTTGGCTGTTTTACTACTTATTTGTGTGCAGCTGGTTGTTTGTTGCCATTTGAGCAGATGCACTCCGACTTCGAAGGAAGCCCCCAATTAGTTGATTCCTATGAAATGCTTGGTGGGGAGGCAGTGGGTCTATTCTTGTTTTCCCCACAAGGGGGCGCTGGAACCCACACGTGGAGTCTTTTCAAATCATCCACTGTGAAATTCAAATTCCAACCCACTGGAGATTGTGAACCATGCTCACTAACCAAATCGTCTGTTAGATTATTTGAAAATAAAAGAATTATAGTTTTAGAAATAGTAAACAGCTAGTGTATAGAGAAAAGTTTGTTATAAGAATAATAAGAAGCATTCTGTTAATTTTTATTGAAAATTTGCTACAACCTCGAATCTTTCCTCATTACTTATTAATTTCTTTCATTGCGTCACCATTGTTGATAATCAATGACCCAAGATATTCAAAATTTTCTATAACCTCCAATCTTTCCACAATAACTTACATTTGTTTCTCCATACTAGTTTTATCTGAATGCATTATCTTTGTTTTTGCTAGGTTAAGATATAAGTTGTGATTTTCACTATTTCTTTTGGTTGAGGTCATTAAGTTTTCTATACCAGTCTGTGATGTGGATAGCAACACTGTATCATCTGCATACTGGATCTCTGGTATATCATGACCACTGATATTTAGAGCATCATATTGCTCCCTGGTTGCATCATCTCTGACATCTCTCATTATATTTTTGGTGTACAGGTACAGAGCATCACAATACTTGAAACCAGGAAAGGTAACACCAGTACACTTGGAATTAAAAAAAAGCAGGCTGCAGAATCTGCCGGATCAGAATAGCAGTGCTCTATCTGTCCACGTCTCAGAGCTTCCCTTCTAGACCACCTGCCAGCCAAAATTAAGGGTCTGGTCTGCCCTGCCATAACATAAAGTTTTCAGGTTGCATTTCTTCTTAAACAATTATGATATTCCTCTATAATTTTCACATTTATACTTGTCTCCTTTCTTAAAATTGGGTATTAATAATTACTCTTGCCATTTATGGGGCAATTTCTCCGTAATCCAAACAAATTGTATTAATTCATATATCTTTAAATGTAATGCACGACCATCTTCTTTAATATATTAAACAAAATAAAATACTATAATTTAATTAATCATGTATTAATTTTAAAATAAACATCAAATCAAAAACTTAATTATCAATGAATAATTATTTTCCTCACAGCTGCATAACTCAATTCCTGTAGAAATTCAATAACTGTCTTGAAAAAAATACATATTTATGAAGTAACCATTCTGGATGCTCTTGAAAAAAAAAAAAAAAGCTGGTGCAGTTCTCACCTTTCTCTGTGTGGAAGCTTTCCTTTCTAATTTTTTTCTGCTTTGGCTTTCTATTTTCTAATTCAGTAGTAACATTTTCCACAGCTGCATTCTGCTGCATAAATGTACTTTCAGCTGCACTGCTGGTGAGAAATTACATTAAAACTTCTTTTAAAATTACAGTCTACAGAAATGCTGAATAATTAAAAAAAAAAAAAAAACAATCCTAATCAATTCCTAACAAGAATATGCTTTTTACATAGCAAACACTATCACTGAAGTCTCACACATATTAAGTGACAGAAACATTCAATTTCACTTTCATTTGTGGAGGTATAAGAACAGGTTTTTTTTCTTCTTCTAAGTCAACCTAGAAATAAAGCCCAAGTATAACACACTGTCTCATCTGGAATTTCTGTTTATATTCATGATCAATGGAGAAGAATGCAGAGCTCAACAAATCGGCTGCAGAAACTATTGCTAAACCGAAGAGAAAATGTCAAAGAAAATACATGACTGAAAACATAAAATTACTTGTTTGCATTTCTGCAGGGATTGCAGACCTATTCTAGATATTTTTTCTTTTAATTTTTAACATATTTTATCACTGTTCACTGACAATCATACATACAAAACATAACATAAAATAACCCTTGACCCATTAGGGTCGTGAAGGTGTATTGATGGAATCACTAGCACATAAAACCTGCCTTCTTTCTCTGTCTTTTGCTTGATGAATAAGTGTATGATAACTTAGTTCTGTCCATTTCTTGATGTTGTCATTCCAGGTTCTTCTTTGCCGTCCTCTTCTTTGACTACCCCCCAATGTTCCTTGAAGTACAGTCTTTGCAATCGAATCATGTGTCACCATGTACCCAAACCAAAGCTAGCTTGCGACCTTTCACCACTGGCAAGAAAGGCTCCTGATATCTCGCAGATTTGTATATTTTGTCTCTTACATATTTATTAGTTTTGTGTTCTAAATAACTAATTCGTAAAATGCGTTAACATTCGAAAGCCTGAATCCTCCTTTCCATCTCCACAGTGAGAGTCCTACTCTCACATCCTTATAAGAAAATAGACAACACCAGTGATGTGTAAATATTGACCTTGACTGCGATGCTGATTTTGCTCTTCCACATTATATTCGGCTGCAACATCGTGGCTTTTGCCATATCAAGTCTTGTTTTAATTTCTTTGGTACAGCTACCATCGCTGCAGATGTGGGGGCCAAGATATTTAAAGATTTAAACTTCTAGTTTGTTCCATTTCATCTGACAATCACTGACAAATAATAATTCATGGCATTTCATGTTTTTAAAAAGTTGTGCACCTTGCTTTGAATATTGGTCAGTTTTTTTCATTAATGTTTACAAGGCCTGTTTAACACCTATCCAACCTGTGGCCAAGAAAAGTACAAGTACTAATTTTTTTGGTCAGTTTAATCTTTGGGGCTTCAATATTTTGTGCAAATATCTCTCCATAGCTGTACACATTTCAGGAAAGTCTTTTTAGGAATGAATTACAGACTGGCTGTCATGTTCCTCATATTTTTTGATGATTCAAATCAAGTTCCTTCAAGCTGCATGTTCAGCTTGGGAAACAGCCAAGATTCAGAAGTAGCCATGTTAGAATATGATGA